AAAAAAAAAAAAAAAAATCGCACGATACATTTTCAGGGTTGTGCGTCGATCGAACGGTAAAAAAAAATCCGATGACTGCTAGGTTGAAATTAACCGGACACGAGACCTAACTTTTGTTCTACCTCGATTATGCTTAAACGCCCGAGGACAAAAGCTTGAATTTGTTATGCGCTAATAACTATTTTCCAGTGGCCATGTTTCCTTGTGTTCTGTCAATCAAATTATAAATGGTGGACATAAAGAAACCAAGTTGATTTGTTTAATGTCTGGACATTATGATTTGGTTTGGTTTGGAGTGTATTGTCGGATTGAATTGGTTCCTTTTTGCAGCAAGCCATGTTCATAAAGCTGTTACAAAACAAAAACACGAAAGGTAAGAAAAAAGGTAGAAAAAAAAAATAAAATTGGAAACTGCAATTGTATTATACGCGAAATTCCATCCTACAGATGTGCACTATTCACACCAAGTTCGACTCAGGCTCGTTTGAAAAAGCTCGAGCTTATTTAAAACTCGTTCGGTTAACGAGTCGAGCGGCTCGAAAAGATGATTTTTATGTAATTTTCTATAGTTCGGCTTGTTAAAGCTCGATTCCGGCTCGTTAATATTCATAAATGAGCCGAGCTCGAGCTCGTTAAGGACTCGAGCTCGTGTGGGCTCGTGTACACCCCTAGATATATAATAGGGTCGAATTCTACGTACTATATTAAACTCTTTTAGCTTTTCTTCTCTGGCTGATATGATTAGCAAATTATTTTATAACTATATCATAATAATAGGCCTTTCATCTTAGGATGAAAAATTTGCAGATTCTTTTAGTGTGATTATTGTGCTTTGTGACCTCATATGAGATCATTACTTAAAATTTAGCGTTTGCAAAAACTCATGTTTTTAAAGTACGTCATGTAATTATTTAAAAGTTAGCAGCCTTATAAAGAAGAGGAGAAAAGTTGAGAAAATGTTAGTACAAATTAATTTCATTTATTAGCAGATTCAGATATGTAACACAGTTGCACAAATAGAAAAAAGTTAGACTAAATTGTATTTTTGGTCCAACAGGTTTAACGCCGTAGCATTTTTAGTCCTAAATTTTAACTTTTTGTCTTTTGATCCTGTAATTTAATATTTTGCTGCAATTTCAGTCTTTTATGACTGAAATTGCAAAAAAAAAAAAAATTACAGGACTTAAAATTTATAATAAAAAAATTATCTAAAAGATTTTTTATTAGCAATTTAAGTCCTGTAATTTCAAATGTTGTTGCATTTTCAGTCGCAAAGGATTGAAATTGCGTTGAATTTCAAAATCACATGACCAAATAACAAAAATATTAAATCCTTAT